GGGCTGTATAGAGTCTGACAAGATGTATGAAATATGATGATACATTTTATTGAAAACTATATAGGCAAAAAAAAGGAAAATGAGCAGAATCCTGATGGAAGAGGTTACTAATTTCGTTTATTCATGCTGTGAAAATATGGATCATCTCCAGCTGAAATTGATAAATTTGCTTACTTCGCCTACGCCGGAAAAATAAATTTTCAAGAATTGGAGCTCTACCTGAGGAAGTAGTTACATCTTTTACACAGTTTGATTAAAAATCTACAGAGATTTAATTATAGCTAACTGTGAAGCAAAAGGATGGTTTTCAGTGAAGATTTCTCGCTACATTGTAAATAATTGTACAGATTGTGTGATGTAGTAGCAGCTAACCTGCATTGTTTTGAGGGCTAAGACCGAAGGCCAATTTTCATCAGTTACTTGAAGCATGATACCAAATAAAATAATAATTTTGAGATAACCATTACTGCTTCATGCGTTAGCAACAACTGGCTGAGCACTGAACTATGCACTTGTTTGAACATTACTGAGCCAGTCACATGGACAAGATCACACATGAGCTAATATTGGAGTATGTCAGAAGCCAGTGGAACTGGAATTTCTTTAAATGCTTTTGCATGGTTTGTAATGTATTATATAATGTTCATGAGGTTTGTCAGGTTTAGGGTTTTTTTTCTACTTTGTAGCTGTCTCTGCTCCCTAAGCTCTCATAATTTAACATTAACGAGGGCTACTAAAGCCCATTGCCTATCAGAGCAATCACAGCCGTGAGGAAATCACTGTTAAGACTGACCTTTAATCCTGACTGCTTTATGCTCCTTATCTCATGCAGACCTGTAATATCCAAGTGCGTTCTTAAGCTCCTTTCTAGTCTGTAATTATTCTTTTGACTCTAGCAAAGAGCAGACTAAGACTATCTCTAATTCTCCAAGTCATGTTTTAAAAAACAAACCTTAACCTCTGTTTTCAGTTCATTTGGTGCCCATGTATATGCATGACTTGTATGAGGGAGAATTCAGGTTGCATATTTGAGTGTGGCTCTTGAAGCAGCTGCTTCTTATGGTGAATTTTCATTCTCTGCCAGTGTGTGACCTAAAACCATGCTGGGAATCCATGCCAGAACTGCATGGATTCAGTGAAGGCTGAAGTGGGAGTGCATGGAAAAAATGTGGAAGAATGAACTTGCATGTGAGATTGAGGAACCAACCTATACACGGACTAGTAAAGTCCCTGTCATGTGGACATACGCTCTTTTTCACCTGCTCTCGTCCCCAGCCCGCTAACCTGTGAAGTTAATGTGTGTATCACAACAGACAAGGAGGTTAAAGAAAATTTTTCTTACATGCTACGCACATCTAGGCTTGTCAAATGTGCCAGATATGTGACAGTGAATTTGGCTTTTAAAAATAAAACCCCCAAAACACTATTCCTTTTTAAATGTTATGAAAACCTCTTGCCGCACGTGTTTTTTTTTCAGTTCATAGTTAAAGTAAATTATACAGAGCATAAGAAAAAAAAGTTATCAAATTGTAGCATTCATGAACTTGTACCTTCTTCCCTTTCCTGAAGGTTACAGGAACATTGCTAATGCTTTTTGCCTGTGTTTTGTCCAGTCCTTTCTTTTCTGACTACTGCTTGGCTCTGAGTGAATATTTTCATTGGACTCTTTTAGAATTTGATTATTTTATCCTGAACGTCAACATTACTAGGAGGCCATTTTTTATAGACAAAATCAGGATTGGCTTTTTCGCCCCACGTAGCACTTCATTTTTATCTTGTATGCTGTGTTTAGGAATAGATTTACGTACAGCTTAGGTCTTCCATATGATTGTAAAATAATGAATCTAGGCAATAAGCTGTATGAACTGAAACGTGTAAGAAAGAAGGGAATAAATGATGAAATCAGCCCATAGCCATAAATCTGTGGCTTTTAAGACTGACCATGTGATGTAAGACTTCTTAAAATGTTTTGTAGGACAGGACAATTAAAGACATGGAAGTAAAGGATGTAACATAATTTTTCATTTGTATTGAATATATTAATTAAACAATTTATTATAACTTAGTATGCTGTGGGCTGGTAGGGTTTGGCCTTCACATTAGATTTCCCAACAGAGAAGTCGTTATTGAGGACCGTGAGTCACAGCAGTGCGAGAGCGCTCCTTCACAGTGAGCACCATTAAAACATTTGTTGGGAAGCCAGCAAAACAATAACACAGAGAATAACAATGGGAACAGGAGTGGTTATTTACAAAGTTGCTGGAGGGGGAAACACCGGTAATTGGTAGATTCTGTAGAGGGTTTTTTTCTTTAATAATGCAACTTCTGAGGATTTTGAATTTTTTTGTCTATTCTGAGATATATTGATGTTAACTTTTTCCTTTATTATATCTGAAGATTTGCTCTTACCACCTTTTTGGTACATTTGGTTTTTATTAGCTAATTGCAACCTAGTTCGTATTTCATTCTTACTAAACTTATTCTTTAATAGTTCCACGCTTTCCCTTTTTCATACCTTAAAGCCTAAAGAGTGACATGGGATTATCTCATTATTAGTCTTTCCTGATCCCAAAATGACCATGAGCCACCATTCTCATGCATGAAGAATGCAAAGAGACCCCTCAGAAGAGGTAATTCCAGTAAAGACAAGATGTAGTAGGATTCTTATATTCCGTGGTGATACTGAACACGTTTCTGTGCTCAAAAGAACACCCAAATTGGAGCAGCTGTGAAGAAGAGCGATTAAAATGTTGCAGGGAATGAAAAGAGTCTTTTCAGAGAGGGTGGTAGAAGAATCTACCTGTAAGAAATAAAGGCAGTGATGCATGTTGTGCACTCCCTAACTCACCGGGGAACAGAAATGAAAAAACTGTTTAATATAAAGCGTGGTTCTAGGAGTAAAAAGATGAATAAACGTACCTGTTTGTATGCTGTAGCTCAGTGAGCGTGGGAGGTTGATGTGAAGGTGGAGTGCTTGCCTGGCGCTTATTTTTATTACTGTTTAGCTGATTTCTATTACTTCTGCCAGCTTCATCTTGTGCACACGTTTTATTTTCAACCTCTGCCCTGCAGCTGTTTGCGACGAGAGGTCCTGTGAGCTCTTCCTAAGTGGTGACGACTTTTTCTGGCTTTGCTGTTTTGTCGGTGGTAGCGGTGGATCTGGTGGGTGACGAAGTATCCCTCTGGCCGGCCACTGCCTGAGCTGTGCCTTGG